TTAAAACATCTGTTCTCAGTCGGAAAAATCGTAGAGAGGAAGTTGTCCTGTCTCGGCTCCGCACTTGGCACACATATCCTACTCATTCGTACCTTTTAAAACGAGAAGATCCACCTTCATGCCTACCATGTGACACTCCATTTACAGGGAACATTTTCAAATAAAATGTTCCGATTTTAACACATTCGTTATAAATACTTTCGAGTCCCGGATATGAAAACTCTTTTCAGTTTCGTGGACTCGAAGGCATTATTTAACTATTTGAAGGACATCGGTCTATTCTATAGAATATGATGTCTTTTAACCAAACTTACCCTCTTTGACGTTATGCATATGTCACATATAATCCATATAATCTATTAATTATATTTTTTATTATTATAACCCCTTTTATTTTGATTATTTACACATGCAATGCGAATGCTTTTAAAATATTCATTTTTATCAGATTTTATCTTCGCTACTTACATGTTTGTTGAATAAAATAAATAAATAAATCACCATGGCCCTAAATGACCACAGTTGTCGATGGGCCGTTAAACCCAAACAAACAAACAAACAAACAAACAATATATACAAATAACATATAGAAGGTTCGATTTGTAATTGAGGTCTTTGAACATGACTTATCAGGGGGTTGAAATTTAAGGTGACTACAGCATATTTTAGGGGGCTTGTTGAACCTTAATAGGACGTCTATCTTTAATTTATATATAAAAATAAAGTAACAAACAAGCACAATCTCTGATTTCCATTGATATCGCAAGAAAGTTGTCTGGTAATCTGACAACTGATTGAGCAGAAAAATATATGTTTTGGTGGCCATCTTGAAAAGGAATAAACCAACGAATCTTTTCCAAACATCTTCTCTGTTAATCAAATACTCATTCCATCGAAACTGGAACAAATATTTTCTTATTTTCTGTCAGTTTTCAGTCATAATTATTAGACTATACATATCACCAGGAATTCTGTTATAGACCATATGGTCATTTGATCCCTTCTTTGCATATTCTTTCCACCACATATTTTGGAATGATATTTTTGTCACTGGTAGTTCATGACCTAGTCCATCTATAATCAAAGTATGTTTGGTATACAAAAATTATAAGATACTTTTTTTCTAAGATGTACAAATTTTGACTGAAAAATATCATTGCTTGAGATGGCTTCTGGCTGTTGATTTGTCTGTAAATCTCTGATAACTAACAATAGCAAGGGATTTTTAAATGTATACTGTAACATATGAACCCTAGTTTTGGTTGCATCATAAATGATCCTTCAATGAATTGTTAGTTCGACAACATTCGTTTTTTGGAGAATTTCAGATTTATGCTTCTAGGAAAAACGAACCAAGTATTCATTTGAATTTTAATGAGTGTTTTTGTTGTGATAAGGTCTAGGTCTACACCTCACCTAATAAAATCCTCAAAGAACCGTCTTTTGTTAAGTAATCATACTTAAGCATGTTTTATGAAATTGAGCTGATCCCCTCTTTGAAGGTGGAATGAATAACACGTGAGCTAAACAAGTCTCTTGTTAACATAACTACATACTTTGTAACATTATTGCAAGCCAGTACTAATAAATAATAGTAGAAAACGGTAGATTTGCGTTGAGAATTTCATTCAAAATGGCGCGCAGCCTGGTTGTAAAGCGTGACGTCATAAGGATATGACACCAAAGATTACGCTACTAAACCCTGTACATGTATTTTACTGATGCTCATTTTTTCAATGTGGTTTTTCTCGTTGGCACAGCAGATCTTCATTGAGCAAATTAATATAGAGAAAAATATGATATCACCGAATCGCAACATATAGATATTACTCTATGCACATGGTATTCAGAAATATTCAGTTTATCACCTTTCCCGAAGGGCGAAAATGGCAAATAAAAACAGGCCATCATTCAAATGTAGAATTCCTTAACTAAAATATTTGACATGGATGGAAATGTCATGAGAAACATTATCAAAATTGGGAATATTATTATACCGGGTGAACTATTTCTTCCTTCTCAGGGGGTAAAGCATACTTTAGCATATTTAGGAAAACGAGAATTATTTGAGAAATATTTTGGTAATGTGTAATCGTGGTTCAAGTATAACTTATTTGATCGTATTAATGTGAAAATGTCTGCCGTTAACCGGTCTAGGCATATATAGTGTATGGTTGTATGACACGTATGTTCTAGTATTTTTGGATGCTGTGTACAGCATTCATAGCGGTCATCGCCAAGCCTGGGCAAATCAAAACCAAAGAACAGACTTTCTTCTTCCGCGGAAGATCTTTAAATGCTGTGTTGATTATTTCATGGTATGATTAATGCTATAAAATTATGAAATACGTATGAAAACGATCAATGAATCAAAGAAAAAATGTTTAAATTTTACGAAAAGGCGAGTTTTTTTCAATAAGCATCATGAACTTTATCAATCTCAGATTACTACGCTTTTTGGACCGAATAATTTCTTCACAAAAGAAAACAACAACACTCTATCTCCTTCCGCGAAAGATATTTAGATAATGTGTTCATTATTACATGATATGATCAATACTATAATATGGTACAATATATCTGCATAAGACAAAAAAATCAGAGAAATATGTAAAGATCTTTAACAGTGGCGTTTTTAATCAGTGAAAATTCCGAAGTTTATTTGGTTCAAATTACTACGCCTCGTATTCCAATACTCTAAAGTGTGTGTGTAAGAGTTTTCTCCCCTTGTCCATCATTGCGTAGTTTCTTGCTCGCGACTTGTTGAACGACTGTTTGATAACTGTCCTTGATAAAGTAGGCTTCGTGTTTTCTTTGTCTCAATGAAAAGTCTCCAAGCGAAAGAGAATGTTGACTTATACTAAAGTAGCCGTCAGCAGCTGTGCCTAACGAGTTTATAGATAGCTTCCCAATGCGACAGCAGCTGTGCCTAACGAGTTTGTAGATAGCTTCCCAATACAGTCTAGATAATTGCCCAATTAGTATAATACAAGTGCTTCGTGGATAAAGCATATTGAACATCAAAAATTAAAACCGTATTTACATATTATTCAAATTTACCAGAAACTGAATAATTATATAGGTCTTTAACGTTCGTTACAATATCGAGAGAAGGAGAGATACACAAGGGACTTGCATAAGTCCGTTATTACACGCACTGGAAATAATACAATCTCGTTTTAATTTTTTGTATAATTAATCATGATAATAACAAATTGTAATAATACTATCATAATTATTTATTTATATTATCAGTATAACATTTTTTTTTATTTAATCGTAAATTTAACTTTCCCATAATCTTTCGGGACAATTTTGGTTTGCAGGGTTGTCTTGTCAAGGTCACTGTTATTATTTTTAAAAGATCATTGTCTGCGCTGTAGCAGCTTCATTCCTTGAAGGATTTCCATCGATTGGAAACACTAATTAAGGACCATAATATCAGACAAGTTTCAATTGTTTTAGCAATACTCTGCTTGTTATATATATATTTTATTGACAATTAGGATTAAGGGATGGGCTATTATGACCCTTACTTAACAACATGATCTTTGTTATTTACTGCCATTCTGTACTGACAAACCACCTCCTTTATTCCATTATTTGAATCCTTCATACACAGCATCCCTGAGTGGCCACGGCACTTTGATCTTGGAAAGTCAGTGTGTATTGAGGTAACGGGTATCTTGCCAAGAAATTAAACCGTAATTATCTTGATATTGCCAGTCCAAATTATGTTAGAACTGGAACATTTTAGGCTACAGGTACATGGTTGTTTGTAATGTTGAATGCATTCCGCTTTCTGATCTTTTTTATAATGTATCGATATATTCACAAATACATGAATGGCCAAATTATCAAAAATCATGTGTTCCATTATCGCTTGCTTTGGTATATCATAGAAGTGGAAACTAATTTCGCGTTATGCTTGATAAAGTATCAGAAACAAGAGGTCCATGGGCCTTAACGGTCACCTGATATATTTATACAGAGAGTTGATTTTTGTTTTTAACATGAACAGAAATATTATTCAAAGTGACAAAAAAACAATAAAACAACCTTATTCAATATCTAGCATGCAGATTTAAGACTGAAAAGTATTTGAAACTAGCACCTCTGATTCTAAACAAGGAAAATGAAGAAATTTTATTTTAGCACACGGACTCCATTGGGTTCCACCCTACAGCCCTTGGGGGTAGGGATGGCTCAAAATTTACAAAGTATCAAACTGTCAACTAAGGGTTATAATTCAAATCAAGTTATCAACATGTAATGTTCAAAGTATCATTTGCCATTTGAAACCAAAGCACCCTAAGATCCTTCCATCTATGAAGAGTATTTGATTCTACCATATCTGGGTCTTGAGAAGAAGATTTTTGAAATTTCAGTCAATTCAACCCTTTTTGGCCCCACCCATTAGCCCCTGGGGGTCAGTCAGGGCTTATAAGTGCATACCATCAAACTGCTATCCAATACAGAAAATTCTAACCCAAATTGAATTACTTCCAATGGCAATTAAACAAATGTTGGTCCAAAATGTGATTTCCCTATGTAAACTATAGTAAAGTTTACCCCCTCCCCAGGGGGAAACGTGAGACCCCAGGGTCAAAATATTCACAATTTTAGTAAAGCACCTTAAGACCCTTCTATCTATGAAGAGTATTTGATTCTACCATATCTGGATCTTGAGAGGAAGATTTTTGAAATTTTAGTCAATTTTACCCTTTTTGGCCCCGCCCCTCAGGCCCCTGGGGGCTGGGGACCATATAATTCACAATTTTAGTTGATCTTTGGACATGGAAGGTTTCTGCAAAATTTCATTGAAATTGGTTCAGGGGTTTTGGAGAAGAAGTCGAAAATGTAAATTGTTTACGGACGGACGACGGACGACGCCGGACAAAAGGCGATCGCAATAGGTCACTTGAGACTTTGTCTCAGGTGACCTAAAAACCCATACTAGAATGAGTCATTTCCCTACAACACGTATGTTTCCTTTTCAGGAACTTTTGTTTTCAGTTTTCATCCCAGACCATGTAAGCGACCAAGTATCAAATGTTTTTCTGGAAACAAATTGTGAAGGCGTAAATAACATTCCTCTGCGCCGATTTCCACAGTCATCTCTCTGGAGTGCGGATGTCGCAGTGCCAGCAACGAGACAAGGATTTAAATTTCGTTTCAAAATAAGGAGACAAAAGCAAATAGTGACCGGAATAATTTTTCCCACTGTCAATCACGAACATATAACTGAATTTACGAAATCGTTTCAGCGAAATGAAAACGATTCGAATAGACGTCTTGATTTTCTAGTAACTGATGACATTTACTTGCAATACAAGGGTTATGCCGAAGTATGTGCATCAATTATTACTTCGGTAGCGGAAGTATCTCTTAAACAAGCAATCATTGATCTTGAAAACTTCCAAAAGGATTGGAAATTTGCTTATGGAAATAATGACATATTAGACTTTATCGAAAATCAGTTAGATTACTTATCTTACAAAAGAGAACGTGCATTATGTTTTTTGGTATTTCTGTCAAATTTACCAAGCACATACCATCGATTTGTGAAAAAAATGATTCCAGACATCCTTGGTGCAGTAACATGCTCTACTTCACATGATCTCACAAGATCATGCGCTGATAAAGTTGCTTCTACATTATTGCATTTGTACTTATATCATGAATCCAAAAGCAGGAAAAGTTTTGTAGGATTTGTGGATATTGCCTTCCCGTTGTTACCATCGTATTCTCTCAGCAAAGTCTACACCGAGAAATGGAAAGGTACGACGTATCAATTTTCCGTCGATGAAATGCAAGATGTTTCAGTATTGGACTCGTTCCAGAGAGAAACATCGCATACAAATGAAGACAAAAATTTACTGGACATCGTATTTAGAAATATAGAGTTAAGGTCTCTAGTAAGTTGCACAAATCGTCTGCTTAAAAAGTACGGAATGATGGATAAGATGACAAAACTTTCGCTCTCAGCGTTGTGTACCAGAACAAAATTAGAAATCATCAAATCTAGTAAAGAACGCATGGATCGATTCAAACGTTTATTTAAGATATGGGAGTTAATGCAGTTAAGTCCTGTGTCCCCAGAATCCATTGAAGTTCTTTCTCAATTTGAAAAAAGTATCATCCATGTGATCCAATCAACTGATTTGTTCTGTAAATGTGAATACTGGGATGACATTTTGCACGTCTGCGTTGACAAGGATGCATCAATCTTTACACAACTCGAAGAACAAATCGTTCTTATTCAAACAATCGCTTCTGCTCAAAACATGAACATTTGTTCATCATTAGTGACAATACTGGATTCTGACAAATTTGTTCACTTGGACACTGACGCCGGAAACTCGTTATTGGTTAAATGGTTTGACAACATTATTGCCCATCATTGCAAATCCCATCGCAATATCTCCTCTCAAGATCTCTGTCATGTGTATAGACATCTTGGTAAGATGTCTCAAACGCAGTATTTGAAGTCGAAGCAAGATATGCTCTGCCCTTTGTCTGACAAGATGCAAAACATACTGAGAAAAAGAACAATGAGAGAAAACATTCAGACGACACCTGATATCGAAAAGCTGGAAATTCCATATGCAGAAACAGAGTTCGCCTCACATATGAAGACATTGATCCGAGGAGGACATGACAGGGGTGGCTTTTCCGTCAACGACATCATAAAGGATATCACTGGTTGCATCACTCCACTGCGTATACACTCCAGGTTAGTATCACCCGAAGCTTCAATTAAATTGGCGATGTAGATCATCTTTCTCTCATCTCCCTGTGTGTTAGATAGAGCTGTCCAGGGTAAAAAAGGGGTGTAGGAAATTTCTATCTTGCACCCCATTTCATGTGACGTGACGTCACAATGGTTCAACAATGACGTGACGTCACGAATTTGCGAAACTCCGATGCCGCAGTGCGAAAAAGGCGACGTGATGAAATTAAAACCTTTTACAATATAATTACCGTACAAATTAGAAAAACGAGATTAATTTTTCAGCGCAAACAAGGTTTACAAATATGGGGTATGCTAAATCTGGCTGACTGATTCGTTTTCGTGTAAAAATCTCAGGGGAAAATTGATATTTTCAAGATGGTAGCCAGTGCAAACGCGTTTTCATGATTAATGATCTTATTATGGAAGTTGGATTGAGAGAAATATACTCTTTCATGCCAAAGGGTGTAGGATAGGGAAATTCCCCCCTCCGGATTTTCAAATTTGGCAAAAACCTTCGGATTGAATTTCCCTATCATACACCCCTTGGCATGAAAGAGTCTTATATTCTTTAACCACGGATTGCCCCGAAGTAAATGATATATATATATAGAAAGACCCTTAGTATAAGTCAGACACAAATTACCCCAGTCGATCATGCGTTTACTAGCACACCAGGGTACAAACGCTCTCAAACTGCCCGTCTGATATGGCTATTGTGATTTCAGTCGCACTGTTTTAAGCAAAAATTCTATGCTTAGACATTTTATATGTTAATATGAATTGTCGCATGACCGATCAACGACTTCACGGGTATAAATCCTTAACAAAGAATAAGGGGAAATTTTAATATAAAATATGTTCTTTCATCGTAAATATGAAACCAAACTACATTAGAGCAATAAATGTCATTTGGCCACTTCAGTAACTGTAAAGTACATGTTCGTGATATTTGGCCTGCAGCTACCGTCGATGGGGGTGCTATCAAAAATATTACTTTTTTTTTTAAAACGAGTTCTTCTTGACTATACAGTTAAGTACGATGACCGAAATGTGCCATGTACTGACAACGATAGAAGTGGTATACTTGTACATGCAAAACTTGACAAAGTGACATGTCAGCACACACTCTTGTTAGTGGTATAGTTGTACACTAGGTGCTGGAGAATGTGTCATGCACAGATCTACCATACAGTATATGTGTTGTATTCAATTACATTCAGGTAACAGGGCTGAAATATGTTAAAATCTTAAATGACTACAGTACATTTTCTGAGATAAGAGGGTTTAACAAATTTGTACAAATACATTATTTGAAATGTATTTAAATGTTTATTGGACCTCTTCTCAATACCTAATAACTAGCATGCACATTCATTCAAGGATATTCATGTCTTATGTACTACAATCTTTGAATGAGCTCTTCTCAAGATAAGAACAATAATCCTCGGATCATGATATTTGAAAATTTGTTTAAATGATTATTAGACCTCTTCTCAATACCTAATAAATAGCATACACCTTCATTCAAAATTATTCAGGTTTAATATTCTACAATCTTTGAATGAGCTCTTCTCAAGATAACAACAAAAGTCCTCGGATCATGATATTTGATCAGTGGCTACCTGCGATGGAGGGATTCTCTTTATAATAACTTTTTTTGCTTAATACAATTATAAGCATGTGACGGTTAAGGCCAGCAAGTCTCTAGTTTATTTTAGAAGTATCTATTTTTATGATGAAAGCACACTTCATACTTAGACACTTTAAACCTCTAATTAGCTGTAGTATTTTTCACAGAGTTACCCTTGGTATATGTAGAAGTTTGATGAAGCTGTCAGGTGTAATCGAGAGCTCAACATCAGAAGACACTTTCTTGGTTTTGCTCGAGTGTTCAACACTTTGGAAAGTTCTGTTTGATGCCGAAGGAACGAAGAAGGAACAGCTTATCAAAGATGCACTGTATTCACATTCAGAAAAGGCACTGCATAATGTAGTTAAAAGCATAATGGATGGAACAGTTTCCTGTAGACTGCTCAAAACTTTAAAAATAGTGCCTCAGATGAAGATTCTACTGCCTACTAATATGTATGACCGCAATAAGGTGAAAGCGATTATTACAAAATTATACAGTTCTAAGGAGTTGGTAGAATCCACGCTAAAGAATATGAGAAACATGACTATATTACTTGAGGTAGTTTGTAAACGAACTGGAGCAACATTCAGGACCCAAGTTGAAGTAGTAAGAAATCGCATCCAGTCTGATGTTGATCATATCACAAATGATAGTATAGGATTTGCAGAACTGGAGAACTTTACCGAATGGGTAACAGAAATGCATAAGGACTTGACTACTGTAGATTTCCTCCTATCCGAATCTCAAATGTACTGGAATGCTGTCCTTAATCGGCTTGGTCAAAATTTTGATGACTGGTGTGGTGCATTGATGGAGACTGACTCAGGGGAAACTCTCCAGATTGATGCTGTTGAGGACATCAGATGGCTGTTTTCCTCTGATCTCCCGCCGTGTAGAGATGACGAAGACGATTCCCGAAAGGCTATTCGATTATTTGTCAACTTACTTTGCGGACCTGTCCTTGAGGTTTACAAGAAATGGTGGGGAAATATGTCAAAGCTCGAGGGGACAAGCATATCTGACGTTGTTTCTTATTTTCAGAACGAAGCCGATATCCAAAAGGAGATGGAAACCGCAAAACGCGCCCACATAACATTAGGATCGAATATAAAGAAGGCACTAACAAATTTTGAAGAATATCCCCAGTATGAGGATAGGTTCCATGCAATTAAAGACACGTTGAAAGCGTTTAAGTTAGATTCGACGACCGATGAAATATTCCATCGCGCAATTTGTGAATTTGATAATCTGTGTAAACAGAGTGATGACCTGTTGTTAAGGGATGTTGGTGAAGCTGTTCAAATACTAAAAGATGCTACAAAGGAAATAGATGATGAGCTTATAGTTATCATCAGAGAACTCGTACGTTCGTCCTCATTAGTAGCATTTTTACGAGAAGTTTTAAATGAGGACTTACGCAATCTAATCGATGCCGTAGAGGAACATTCCGAACAGTTTGTTTGTGAATCCACTGTTTCCGATTTAATTGATATCAAACAGTTTTTACTTCCTGTACTGAAAATGGACTTTGAGCATAATGTCAGGGCATTCATTGATGCTTTTACAAGGAGCTATGCAACTTGCCGAGTAAAACAGATCCCTGCTAAGATTCGGATGTGTATGGATAATGTCCATAGCCTGAAGTCACTATACTATAATGTTGCAAACAAAGAGGAAAATACTAAAGAGGTAATCAAAATGATAAATCATGGCGGCGTCTTTCGAATATATGTGAACAAACGACCATGTGAGTTGAGTGTTGAGTGGAAGCAGGACAAAAAAGTGTTTGAGTACAGTCAGTCCCGTTTGAGTGATCTCCGAAGTCGTGCGCTACTGATAATGAACACAGAGGAAAAACGACGTTCTAGTCGAAAGGAAACTCGTAGGTCTAAACTGACAGAACATTTGTCCAATTTTTCGTCACTGGTCGACACATTATTTGCAATAGTAGACAAGTTTGATTCACTAAAGGCTCTTGGACATTTCTATTGGTGTAGTCACTCCACACAAGTGGTTAAACCAAAAGAAGCAAAGCATATTCTAGACAAACTTACAAATGAACTCTCAGAATGGGGATCTCTACTGAGTCAAAACAGAGAACAGTTTTACTTTATGAATTATATATCATCGGAACACCTTCCTGTATTGCAATCGTTTTTAGAGCGGGGAACTAATGGTAACCGAGTTTTTAATATTCTGAAATATGTAAATCCAAACGTAAACCTTACTGATCTAGACACTCTCCGCGAAAAGTATACTTCAATGACAATGGAAGACAACATGGAAAACAAACTCTACAAAACAGGTCATTCTGTTCAGATTGTTTTTGAAACGATTGTTCCAATGAGTAGGACCTTTTTGGAAATAGAACGTGGAAATGTCAAATTAACAGATACCGTTTTAGAAGGCAAACTTCACATTTCTGTTTTAGAGCAAGGGAGCCGTTCAGTGCTTCACACTGTTCTAGCGTTACATCAAAATACGACAGGGTTTCTTCCAGAGTCTAACCAACTGTTATTTTGCAACAGTCAAACGACACAAGATGAACTGTGCCTGTTAATCAACAGGTGTCTAGTAATAGCAAAAAGTGCCTTGCAAAGAAGATTATTTTGCATAGTAAATGCCGAGTTACTCTCATATGAGCTGCAATTCAAACTCACCCGTTTACTTCAATGCCTTCCTAGAGAAGAAAAATATCTTCTGGCAATAGTCTGCAAAGGAAGAGATCAGTGTACCTTTCTTGAATGGTTCCATGATAACGTTACTGGAATTAGACCATTGACTGAAATACAACTTAGGAAATGTTTCGAATCAAAATGGCCAAATGTTACCACTGTTACGTCAGACATACCTGGTCTTGGAAAAACCGAAACTGTGTATGACATTGCATCAAAGCATTCAAAAAGCGTGAAAACTCTTCATGTGAGTGGTTTGTTTGACAAATCCAAAATTGTAAAGCTACTTTTGGATCTGAATTTGAGACCACATCATTTGTTGCATATTGATATTGGAATGATAAATGATCCAATGGCTTTAGATTTGGTCTTGTTTCAATTGATTGTAACAGGATTTGTCGCTGCAGGAACATATGCATATGCTATCCCAACTGACTTTATTTGTATAGAAATAGCCAATTCAATTAACAATACTTTAATTGACGGTTTGTCGACAGCCATTCATTTCAAACGCAGAACATTACAGTGGGAAGAATATACTAACATGAAAACTACGTCAGATGTTAACAGTCCTTTACAGGTAGTGTGTCAATATTTGAATCATTTGGAAACTCACAAATTAGACAACACAGATATATATTTCCACGGTAGTAGCAAGGTGCTTCCTCTCGAAAAAAGGACATGCATTCAATTACTTCAAAAATATTTCTCGTCTGCGAGTGACATGTCATTCACACTAGTGGGAATTTTTGTAAAAGTTCTTGCCGATCAGCTGAAAAAGATGTCAGCAAGTATCTTTTTCAGACAATCAAGCATCAACGCAATACTTGGAGATACGGGTAATCACACATTAAAGTCAAACCTGGTCCAAATCATCGTGGAGGTTTCAAAGGAATTCGCAACGAGATCGATTGGTACTTGTCGCACCTCTCAGGCTGCGGTCGTCTTAAACACTCGGACTGAAAATATTGAACAGTTAAGCACTGCAGCAATGCTGGCACAGAGAGTTCAGGGGATGATCCAATGGGAAGAAAGCAACCACCTTGTTGTGATATTTCACCATGACATGCAAACAGTGTCCGCTTTGTTCAGGAAAATAACACAAGTACCAGCGACAGTTAAAAACCTTTTCCAAAGTCAGATGAAAAAATCATTTGATAACCTAGAGAAAGCATCAGTTGAGGAACTTCAGCGCATTATCGTGAGATTCACGAGTAAAAGTCTTCCCCAAAAAGACATGCTGTCTTCACTGGCATTATCATACGCCTTGACACCTGACAATCTTCTAAAAATGATTTTAGTAGTTATGAGACTTCAGTCGAATGTCCCCGTTGTTATCATGGGTGAAACCGGATGTGGAAAAACGTCCCTTGTTAAATATCTGTCCACTATTTCGGGAATAGAGCTGGATGTGTTGAGTATTCATGCCGGAACGTCAGAAGAGGAAATTATCTCAAAAATTGACAACATTCAAAACGTGGCGCATAAAAATTTATCTACTCGCAAGTGGGTGTTTCTGGATGAAATAAACACATGTGACCACCTAGGTGTTATCACAGATATGCTATGCCACCATCGGTACCATGGGAAAACACTATCGGCAAATATATCAATTATTGCAGCATGTAACCCATATCGCCTGAGACCTAGAGACGCTGTTCATACTGAAGGATTGCAGGGGAAAATAAGGGAAGATGAGCTATCCAGATTAGTATATAGAGTACATCCACTTCCTGAATCACTTATGGATTTTGTTTGGGATTATGGCAGATTAAGCGATACCGATGAAAGAAGATATATCAGAACAATGGTTGGAAATGTACTGAAATCACCAGGATTGTCAGAAACACTTACTGAATTACTTAGTGTGTCCCAGATATTCACCAGAGATTCGGAACATGCAGATTACTCTGTCAGTCTTCGGGATGTCGACAGGACAATTAGACTTTTGAAATGGTTCATCGACATGTTGACAGAAAAGGAGTGTAAAACACATGTTATTCATGAATTAGAAAAGAAAGCAGTAGTGTTGGCAATGGCAATGTCTTACCACAGCAGAATATGTAATGCAGATAGAAGGAAGGATTACAGAATCAAAATGGCGTCCATATTTCCTAAACAACTCAACATTGTGGATGAAACACATATCACAGAAATGATAAATACCGAACAGAATGATATCCTTAACAGAATGGAGATACCAGAAGGAATAGCACGCAACACAGCACTGCGTGAAAACGTCTTTGTTATATTTGTTAGCATTTTAAACAAAATCCCGGTATTCATCGTCGGTAAGCCTGGTTGTAGTAAATCACTATCAATGCAGCTTATTCGTAGTAACTTGCGTGGAAAGGATTCAAAAAATGACTTCTTCAAAACGCTACCACAGCTGTTCTGTGTGTCATTTCAGGGTTCAGAGTCATCAACATCTGATGGAATTGTAAAAGTTTTTGAAAAAGCAAAACGATATCAAGACCGGAACACACACGACAACGTATTGTCAGTTGTAATACTTGATGAAATAGGTCTTGCAGAAATATCAAGGTTTAATCCATTGAAAGTCCTTCATGGTTTACTAGAGCCTGACGGTAAAAAGAATCCGGATGTAGCAGTAGTTGGAATATCAAACTGGGCACTTGATGCTGCTAAAATGAATCGTGCTTTACATCTGTCTAGGCCTGAAATGGATGTTGGTGAGCTGTACGAAACAGCCAAATCAATCAGCCAGTCTTTGATGCCAGCAACACAAAACGCAACACAAGTCTGGTCTTTTGACGAATCACGTTTTCTCAAAGACGATGTTTTAATTACTTTGAAAGCTTTAGCATCCGCTTTCAATGAGTACAATTTGAGTCAGAGATTCAAAAACTTTCATGGCCTGAGAGATTACTACTCTCTTACAAAATACATAAGCAGATGTACTGCCATTTCTAAATCCGAGATTATGGAAAGTAAGAAAACTGACATCATTACCCATGGACTTTTGAGAAATTTTGGTGGTCTGCCCACTGAAATGACAAGTATGATGGGTATATTTCAAAAGCATCTCGAGACAACCTGTAAAATGAGTATTCCTGTTCTGGATCTCATAAGAGCTAACGTACAGGATGTGTCTTGTCGACATCTGATGCTTATAACACAGGGGGATGCAGTTATAGGCAAGTTAGACCAGCTGCTGAAAGAATGTGGAAAGGAATATGTAATGATGTTTGGAAGTCAGTTTGAAGATGACTTGACAGACGATTATAACTATCGTATCTTAAGTAGAATCATTCTTTGCATGGAACAAGGAATAGCTTTGATTCTGAAAGACCTTGAGAATATCTATGGTAGTTTATATGATATGCTGAATCAGAACTACACCGTTGTTGGGAAAAAGAAGAATTGCAGAGTGGCACTAGGCCCGTACAGTAATCCCATGTGTCACGTGAATGATGATTTTAAGTGTGTAGTCCTGGTGGAAGAGATGAATTTGGACTATTCTGATCCACCGTTTCTTAACAGATTTGAAAAACAACAATTTCGATTTGGTGACCTGCTTTCTCCAGAAGATAAAACAAACATATCAGAATTAGAAACTCTACTATGCGCTGTTTTTGAAGTTCCTGGTACTTCCTTCACTGTTTCAAACGCATTGCCCATTTATGAAACAGATGTGCTCTTTTCACTTCTTCTCAATGTCAAGGAAACAACGGACAAAGATAACATGGGTGATATCATTAGTTTATGTTTGCATCGTATTCTGCCGTTGGTTTTTCCAGATGCAATTGTCAGAGCAAGTCGATCAACTCTTTCGAGTGAGCAACCAACAAAAGTGCAAATGTTGACAGATGAGTACTTTAGGCTTCCTTTACATGAAGGTTTAGAATCGTTCTTGACAGCCCAACATACAGCATTAGACAGCACACTTTGCTCTGAATTAATGCAAACAAATCAAGGTGAGGAACTGTGTGTCATATTTACACATAGTAGTATGCATATCAACATCCATAGTCTCCTAGACAAACACAACTTAAGTGTAGAGAAAATTGGAGCATTCCGGTCAGAAAAGGATTTAACCAACGCAATAGATAAATTCTTTGAAAATGATGGTGAATTTCTATTTCTTCAGTTCGATTCTCGGTATGACATGCAACATTTTTTTCTCACAAAAATTACCGTTGAGCACAAAAAAAGGGAATATGCGAAGCTTTCAGCAGAACAACAAACTCATAAGTATGTGTACTTGCTTGTCCATCTTGGTATTGGCGATCGCAGTGAGTCAAAAATCTCACAAATACATTTCATGTCCGAATGGAGCATCGTAATGCTTGACACGCTTGAGAAACCGGATAAAAGTATACTTGACCTAAAAAACCGAACACTCACAGAAATTATCTCAAACATGCGTCCCTTACATAATTTTATTAAGGAACAACTGCTATGGGCATTTACTAGAATACAGTATAGTCATGAAGATCGTCATGTATTTGAGTTGGAACAGGCCATAGAACACCTGCAGTCGTCTTCTCTTCTCATGAAAATGATCGATGAATTCGTCTATTCCCAAGTAGAAAACTTAGTGGAAGATGAGGTTAATTGGGAATTCAACATTGCATCTGACGAGCATGCCTTGATCAGCGCGGGAACATACATCGGAGCTATTGAAAGTCATATACAGGACATTATCAGAAAACCAGTGGCAGTTTTTGTATTCAAGATGGAACAAGAAGGCTGCCTGGAATCTTTATTCATTCAAGATGCCAAAAGCAGTCATAGGCAGAAAACCTGGGAGTATCTTGCTAGCAATAAAGAGATTTGCAATTTTGAAAGCATTCCGTTACCATCTGGTCCGGAGTGTTACAGCTGCACAACGCCAGCTACTGTGCGCAAAGTACCATTCGGTAACCATATAATGCTAGAAATTGAAGAACTAAGGGATGACTTTCTACAAATGCTTAGAAAAGTCAAAGCACAAAGCAAAGAATATGTCGACGACGAGGAAAACCCTATTGAAATCGTACATGCCGTGTTGGATGGATATAGGGACATTATTACGTCAAATACACACTTAGCTGAACTAGATCAGGCTGGATATGAAGGAATGATCCAAGATTATTTCCATGACTTTTGCAATTTTATGACATTCTCACATTCATCAAAAGACATAAGGCCAGCAGAATCATTACAGTGGGCAATTAATAGCACGATAACATGGGAAAAAGAAACCTTTCTAGATTCAGTCGTCATGTTGCATGCAGTATACTGGACTTATACGGATAGATTAGACTGCATAGTGAAAATTCTTGCTCTTGCGTGCACCAGTGGATCCGAGGATTTGCATATCCATGATGTCATTTCAAAGCTCAATTCGGACCAAGAACAATTGGATTCGTACGCTTCGGAGGAGGAAAATGAACGAAGTGATGAACAGATAACTGATATGGAGGAGAGCGAAAACAGTGACGATTTAACATCAGAGCTGAACATGATAGACAAACTGATTTTGCTTGTTGGTAATATGCTTTTACCTTCAACACACAATGTTCATGCCATCGGTTTTGAAAAATGGAAACACAGTGTGAGTCGCGCATTGCCGTTGATTGGTCAGATATCTTCGGATTTACCGATGAACCACAAGCTGCGTTTCTGCTCAGATCTAGCTGCGATATTGATCGTTCCGTACAACCTCGATGCAAATCTATTGACTACTGTTGGAGATCTTCTGCAGCAATCAGAATTAAATGACAAAGAAATTTTTAATGAGGTTTTTAACCTTCTTAAAAAATTGATAAATGACAACAACAACATTCCATCCCTCAAACTAAAGAAGATTATATCACTGTACATGTACCGCTGTATTCAAACGCAATCCGAAAATGACGATATATTCATCTGGTTTTTAGAATGGATCGAAAAAGAGGACGCCTGTAATCATAATTCAAGTTTTCTGTTACCTGATTTCCATTTTATTGGATCCATACTTCAGATTGCAATAGCATCACAACAAGCAGAAGATGAAGATTTATTTTCGTCTATACAGGATGGAAATAACCACTGGAAAAGCAATGCATTTTGCAAATCGCTTCAAGATTGTCTCAGTTCAATTTCTCCAAACGGAATGTTGTTTGAAGGACTGAGCGTTCTTTTGGTACAAATTATTCAAAAAACAGTTTTCGAGGAAGATGACATCGACAGTTCACAATATTCTGTATGTATGGAATCATTAGAAACGGCATTAAGCATGGTGTCAATAGATGAGGAAGACAATGTTCCGTTGATACAAATCTTTAGCTCTGCTTTAATTCGCCATACACTGGATATATCAGCAGGAATAGCATTGCAAACAGAATTTAACATTGAGGATAATCAAGCAATGCTACAGAATTTAAATGCATTACTTGAGCCACCAACTGATTGTGGGGATCCCATGAGATATGGACCTTTGCTATATTTCCTACGACGGTTGAAACAAATCGCTGGGCTTCGAAATGTCCAAAAGCTTGGGGAACACCTAGAAATTTCTATGTCAACAGTCAAACATATTGAATGGACAAAAGATCTCACAACTGTTTGCTTAGAATTCAATCCATTGGAATTCTATTGTTCAGCGGAAGCGGTAGAAGAAGTCGAAGATGCATGCAACAAGTGGCCAAATTCCGAAGAGCAACTCAAAAGATTTTGTGATAAAATGGCAACAGATGTTGACAAGGCACTCCATATCGAAAGGATCATATTGGCAATATTTTTTAAGAGAATGTTTGTACCCTTACCAGAGTCCGCGAAAAAGTTTGTGGCAGCAGTATGTCAGTTGATACCAAAACATAGCCTTCCGAAGGAACATGTGGAACTGTTGCCGTACTTATGTGGACACATAGATTTTAGCCATTACCTGTTTCATCTTAACACTGAAATTGAGGAGCCCGATCCACAAATTGTCTCTGTTTTAATGCACATGATGTTTATAACAACCCTATATGGAAAACCAGGGCATACCTTATATGACTGCATTCACAAACCTGATCAGTTTGACAGTCATCCAGTACAGATTCTAAAAACCAGTATAGCACAAAATATCAGGGAAAAGTTTTCTTGCAGGAAATGTCCATGTAGAGTGATTTATGTTGCATCTACAGATATCTGTCCATCATGTAAACAGAAGCAGCATTCTACAGAAAACATGAAAGTTGCATCCATACTAAATGGTACAGAAAAACACACGGATTCCTTATTATCATATTTGATATACAGATTGCTGGTTAATGGAAGTCTAATCTGTTCTCTTGCTTTACGTCTTTGCAATGAGTCCAAGATTGCAGCAATAGTCAGTTCAAGTGATGATGAATCCAACGTATCAAGAACTCTTCACAAACTTGTCAGGACAGATTGGAAAATATTGTGTCAGCAGTTGAACATCAGTCATTCAGATTTATGTTGTCTCTTAAACCTATTTCTTTGTGCAAACAAGGATATGTCTCTCCAGCTTCTCATTCCAAGTGATTCCAATTTTATCACAAAGTTTCAAGTCTTCACAAAGTGTTGTAACGATTTTTTAAGGAATCGACACGAAACGTTAGCCGAACACCGTGCAGAATTCGCAAATCGTAGGGGTCTCCAAAATAGTATTGAACATGCGCTAGAGATCGATTACAGGTACACTCTGTACGTTCCATCGGACAATGTATCAGTGGAAAACCTTACTGCTGAACTCTCATTACTTGATCAATCAGAAAGCGCATTTTTGCGTGTAGCTTTGAGTAATCGGCAAATTCTTTCACTGCCAAAATATATCACAGATATTTTGAAATGGCATCTAGCAGTTGTAAATTGTATGAGTTACAAAGTAAGAAAATGTGAGTGTACAGAACAAACCATCGCAAAATTTCTCAGTATGGTCGATGAAGATAACTCAAACGCTAGATTAAAACAAAAGTTTGGCAATCTTAAAATTGCATGGAACATACTCAGAGAAAATAGAGAATTGCTTTTAGAAATATCACCCTCATTGCCAGACATGGAATTGATGACAATAAATTCGTGTGCGTCAAGCTGCTTGCTTATAGACAAAAACTCACCAATTCACCAAGTTTTGGAAGTTCTCATTTCTATACAAAACAACATTCTTCTTGAAGCAATGGATATTTCACGTTCATCAGACTATCCTGACTTCAGCGTCTTGTCGTGTGGTCCAGATGCAGCAGTGGTGCGGTGCGTGTCTGTTCTGGACGTAACATCAGCCGATGTTATATCATTTAAATGGACCGACGATTTCTTACGGTTTGCACAATGTAAACCCAACTCTGGAAAAGGGAGTAGTATTTTGTATGATTTTCATAAGGTAGAAATGGAAGTCGCTCACGAACTCGTGTTCAGAAAATCTTTTATCACAAACACCGAGACGATTCCACTAATCGTGTTCGCGGACGAACTGTTCAGGAACAGCGTTACCTTACTACAACGAATCAGCCGTAAATTAACACCGCAAGTGCCCCTAACAATGGAACTTAAACAAGGGATTGAGTATAAATGGAAAAGAAATCCCTCTCACACAATGCAGCTTCTGTCACAGATAGGAATCGTACTGTCACTTCTGAACAAAACTGGGGGAGATTCCCAGACTTCTCTCGTTGACTATCTTGCGGCATGGAAGAATTATGTCAATTACAAATCAATCGTTCATCTCTTGCCTGAGCCGGAAACCTTAATCAAACTTTGTCATGTCGTGGCGTTGTATGAGTGGATGGAATTAAGAAGCGGAGACGAAATCAGCGACACCCTTGGTGAAGTGTTTCGTGTGCATGTGACCAGCGAGATTCGGCAACATTTCCAGACAGCGAAGCAGCAACATTCTTCTCTGGAGATAGTAGACAGAGTGTTGAAAGTATTTGTGCACAGGAACTTTTCAACAAACGACGTTAATGTCCAATTGAATCGACCCTTGGTCAAATATTTAATGGACCCAATCTATTGGAGACAGGACATTGACGTTAGAAATGGGGCCATCGACGAGACTAGTAAGGAAGCCATGGCTTTACAGCAGGTTCTCTCTCCAGAGTGTCTTGTGGAACATTTATATGAAACGATGGAACTAATCAAACAAGCAATTGAAGTAAGTATGGAAGAATGCAAAAGCTATTTTGGTTAATGACCAATAAATGAAAATGAAAAACAAAAAAATTGGTCAAGTGTATATATATATTTCCTTAAAGTACGTTGTGTTAAATGATTTATAATCGACTTTCGTTAATCAAAGTTCTGATTCCAAGACTATATTTCTACATATTTTTTCAGAACACAAATTACCAAAATTTACATTAGCAATTGGTGAAAACGAAAATTGACTTAACCACTAAAGACAAATGTAGAATTGTTGATGGGCGATAATTTCCTTGTATAAAGTACCACGAAATTATACCAATGTCGGTAATTTCAAAATTGTGTTAAATAGGAGAAACAGGCAAGCGAGATGCGGATCACCTTGGCGTCTGCTGTTTTCAAAGAAAAAATGACGACTCGTACACAACCCGTGAAAAAACGAAGGAAATTGGTGTCAAAACTCATCGGAAAGACGTAAGGTATGGTATTACATTTTGAAATTTAATTTATTCCTTTTTAAGATTAATAGTAATGTTCAAGTTCAAGTTACTATATGTTAGATGTATAATTGTATGCAGTTAAGTACGTTATCTTCAAAAGTACTGCTTTCATATTTAGATGCGTTTCTTTTTTTAAATGTATCCTCATGTATATTTATATCATCACAGGTTCATCATACGTACGATGTCTAACATCGTAATAAACAGGTGGCTGGACACAGTAATCATCCAATCCTTGAAAGGAATCGTTCACATAGCTCTGAGTGTGTACTCGAAACACTGAATATACTTTTAACTTACAATAGCGATGTTTCTTGCAAATGCACAGGAGAAGCTTTAAAGCTTCTTGTTATGGAAACATTTTTTCACATACTTGTAAAATATTTAATTTTTATATACACGTTTGTCTAGTTTAAAAGGTACAATTTATGTTAATACACTTCATCCTTATCAGTTTATACAATATGGAATATGCAACAGAGGACGATTTGCTATTGAGACAGTGCTGAATTGTACTGATTTAAATTTTCATACATAGAAATGACAGTGTAAGTAAACATATTTGCTGCAGCATTGATTTTTTTGTCTTGTTTAAATATTATTATTAAGAGTTTATAATGTATAGTATGTAATCAATTATCAGTACTGCATATAAAATACAATCATTGGTGCAATGTGATAAGGATCGGGGTTAAAACAGGTTTTCACGTCAGCAAAGTTTTTAACAGCTTCATCTATTTCGCTGTAGTGGTGCTTTGTAAATATAACAGATATGAGGAAAACTTAGATGCATTGTGGCTTAATGATTTGTTTTTAGTAGAGATAAGTGGAAAACATGGGTGGTTTTTTTCCTCAATGCTTTGAAATAATACAAAAATGATATGAACATACAGCATATGACATCCTGCAACGCGTGTGGGATAAATCTGTTAGATATTATATGCTTTGACTCAATATCTTGTTAACATGATTAAACTTGTAAATATAAATATGCATTGTGAATTATATATAAAGAAAATGTACTTACATAGGATATGCATTGTAATTAAAAGAGTTAATGAGTTCATATTATGCTGGATATACATTGTTATATATACAAAGCATTTTAATCAATATAAACATGTCATAAGTAGTCTGGCTTGGTGACTCAATGTTCTGTATATTTAAGATAATTATTACGTAAATGTATCCATTGTTTGACTCAGTGCATTGTCCGTAGTATAATGTATGAATATTTTGAATCAATGAGTTTTTATAGAAGATATAAATTATATAAATGAAAATGAATCGTGATTCATTCTTATGTACATGAGATATATAGTTCAGTGAATAGGAACGGTGACTTAATGTTTTCTTCTGTGGTACCATGTATATACACAACATACTAGTGGAAATACAACGTAGCTTAAAGTTATGTGCGTGTAGTATAAATATCATGATAATTCTGAAAGTGCATTATGACTTACGATAGTTAATATAGAATGAAAAATAACAAAATGGATTCGCATTATTGTGAATCCGTGCCATGTATATTCAATATATAGTAAAGCAGCACATTCTTATCAAATATGCATAGAACAATTATTGTTCATCAGATAACGTATTGCTATTGCAATTCATTTATTTTTTCTATGATAGGACTGGATATGCATTGCGGCGCGATGCTTTATGTAGATATGTAGTATGAATATCATACATGTACAATAGAATATGTTTGGATAGTTTCAGTTCTTTGTATAAAGGATATTATAGATATCATAATGTATGTAGAAATAATATACACAATGTATATCCAAATGATTTCCGAGTGGCAATTGATGTTCAGAACTTATGTTTGAAAAGATGTGGTGAAACTTGTCACATTACTTGTCATTTATAACTGATACCCTCAGTATACCAATGTTTGAAAGACTTGTTCATATATAATATATCATACTTCTTGTTATATAACTGTAAGTTTTATTAAATTAATGAAGATCAACACCCATATTTGAACAGATATGGTGAGATTTGTAATACGATAAATTATTGATAGATATATTAAGCACTTATTTCATTAATGAAAATCAATACCCATGTTTGAAAGGTATGGTGAAGTTTGTTATATAATGAATCCTCGACAGATATATTAAACCCTTATTACATTAATGAAAATCAATACCCATGTTTGAAAAGATATGGTGAAGTTTGTTATATAATGAATCCTCGACAGATATATTAAGCCCTTATTACATTAATGAAAATCCATACCCATGTTTGAAAAGATATGGTGAGGTTTGTAATACGATAAATTATTGATATATATATTAAGCACTTATTTCATTAATGAAAATCATTACCCATGTTCAAAAGATATGGTGAGATTTGTAATACGATAAATTATTGATAGATATATTAAGCACATATTTCATTAATGAAAATCGATAGCCATGTTTGAAAAGATATGGTGAAATTTGTAATACGATAAATTCCTTTTTGATATATTAAGCACTTATTACATTAGTGAAAATAAATACCCATATTCAAAAATATATGAGGTGGGTAATAATATGATGGATTTTTTTATATAAATGTTATACTTTTATTACATTAATGAAAATCAATACCCATGTTTGAAAAGATATGGTGAGATTTGTAATACGATAAATTCCTTTTTGATATATTAAGCACTTATTACATTAGTGAAAATCAATACCCATATTCAAAAAGATATGGTATGGTAAGTAATATGATGGATTTTTTTTTTTTATATATATGTTATACTTGTATCATATTAATGAAAATCAATACCCATGTTTGAAAAGATATGGTGAGATTTGTAATACGATAAATTATTGATTGATATAGTAAGCTCTTATTACATGAATGAAGATTAATACCCATGTTTGAACAGATATGGTGGGGTTTGTAATGAATTGTATTTCTCGATTTAAATGTTTAACCAGAATTACATTAATGAAAATCAATATCAATATTTGTGACTCAATGTTATATGCATATAGTTCATATAATTTATTACTGTGTAAAGGCATTGTGACTCAATGTTATGTATTTTGCAAACAAACCATGCTTTTTAATTGAATATGCATTGTGACTCAATGCTATATGTATAAAGTGTATATATTTAATATAATTTCTGTGTAAAGGCATTGTGACTCAATGCTATATTTGTCTTTACTGTATATAATATAATTGCTGTGCTACGGCATTGTGACTCAATGCTATAAATTTTGCAAATATATCTTGCTAGTTAATGTGCATTGTGACTCAATGCTATATATACATATACTGTATATAATATAGTTTCTCTGAAAAGGCATTGTGACTCAATGCTATATGCATATACTGTATATAATATAGTTTCTGTGAAAAAGTTTTTTGACTCAATGCTATGTATTTTGCAAATATACCATGCTTGTTAATTCAATTTGCATTGTGAATCAATGATATATATGCATATACTGTATATAACATATTTTTTTGTGAAACGGCATTGTGACTCAATGCTATGTATTTTGCAAACAAACTATGCTTGTGAATTTTATATGCATTGTGACACAATGCTATATGTACATGTATTTAGTGGATATATTTTTTTCTGTAAAAAAGCATTGTGACTCAATGCTAGGTATTTTGCAAACAAACCATGCTATTTAATTTAATATGTTTCGTGACTCAATGCTATATGTATAAAGTGTATATAATTTATTTCTGCTAAAAGGCATTGTGACTCAATGCTATGTATTTTGCAAATATACCATGCTATTTAATTTAATATGCATTGTGACTCAATGCTATATGTATAAAGTGTATATAATTTATTTCTGCGAAAAGGCATTGTGACTCAATGCTAGGTATTTTGCAAATATACCATGCTATTTAATTTAATATGCATTGTGACTCAATGCTATATGTATAAAGTGTATATAATTTATTTCTGCGAAAAGGCATTGTGACTCAATGCTATGTATTTTGCAAATATACCATGCTATTTAATTTAATATGCATTGTGACTCAATGCTATATGTATAAAGTGTATATAATTTATTTCTGCGAAAAGGCATTGTGACTCAATGCTATGTATTTTGCAAATATACCATGCTATTTAATTTAATATGCATTGTGACTCAATGCTATATGTATAAAGTGTATATAATTTATTTCTGCGAAAAGGCATTGTGACTCAATGCTATGTATTTTGCAAATATACCATGCTATTTAATTTAATATGCATTGTGACTCAATGCTATATGTATAAAGTGTATATAATTTATTTCTGCGAAAAGGCATTGTGACTCAATGCAATGTATTTTGCAAATATACCATGCTATTTAATTTAATATGCATTGTGACTCAATGCTAGGTATTTTGCAAACAAACCATGCTATTCAATTTAATATGTTTCGTGACTCAATGCTATATGTATAAAGTGTATATAATTTATTTCTGCGAAAAGGCATTGTGACTCAATGCTATGTATTTTGAAAATATACCATGCTATTTAATTTAATATGCATTGTGACTCAATGCTATATGTATAAAGTGTATATAATTTATCTCTGCGAAAAGGCAATGTGACTCAATGCTAGGTATTTTGCAAACAAACCATGCTATTTAATTTAATATGCATTTTGACTCAATGCTATACATATATGGTGTATATATCTAATATAATTTCTGTGTTAAGGCATTGTGACTTAATGCTATGTATTTGCAAATATATCATACTTGTTAATTTAATATGCATTGTGACTCAATGCTATATCTGCCTTTACTGTATATAATATGATTTCTGTGCTACATCATTGTGACTCAATGCTATGAATTTTGCAAATATATCATGCTAGTTAATGTGTATTGTGACTCGATGCTATATATGCATATACTGTATATAATATAATTTCTCTGAAAAGGCAGTGTGACTCAATGCTATGTATTTTGCAAATATACCATGCTAGTTAATTTGATATGTATTGTGACTCAATGCTATATATGTATAGTCTATAAAATATGATTTCTTTGAAAAGGTATTGTGACTCAATGCTATATTTTTTGAAAATAATATACCATGCCAGTTAATGTGTATTTTGACTTTATGCTATATGTATATAGTGTATATAATACCATTTCTGTGCTAAAACATTGTGACTCAATGGGGTTCATACGAGTATACATGTAGTTTTATTTGAAAAAGAGACGTACATCGTGATTGCGCACATACCCGGTATTTGTAGCTTATATAACATACCTGTACAGTTAGGACTCAGTTCTATATAAATCAGGTAAATGGTACTACAGTAAGGTTATTCTTCAATAAAAGAAGACTTACAAGATATCCATACCATGTATACATTAAAATCTATTAATTTGATTGTATTATATCATTTATCATATTTTTCACAACAAACTTATATTTGAAGCTATTGATAAGGTTGCTATAATAGAACAGGTTCATAGTTCTTAATGATAAGCAATTTGTTAGTTATTATGGAATAAATTATAATCAAAATAGGGGTTTCTGCGAAAAGGCAGAATTTCTGCGAAAAAAAAAATTGTGAAAAAAAATGTGAAAAGAAATGTGACATTTCTTTTTATTGTTATGATACATCATGCTTTAAAAGTAAACCTGTTGTATGTTTTACAGAGATCAATACCCATGTTTGAAAAGATTTTTGATAATCTATATAGTATTTTTAATAACTATTAATTAAAGCAATACCCATGCTATTTGTTATACTAAACTGTGTTATATTCAAAGGTGATATTGTTTGATTTAAGTAGAATCCCATGAAATAGATACCTTAATATCAATGGTGTCGTAATATGATGTTTTATTCTGTATTTATATATTTTTGTATTACCAGTAGTTATAACATTTATCACCTGGTTTATATGACATATTTGTCTCCATTACCTTGCAAGAAACATCGCTATATGTTGTGTGTACCTGTAACAGAGCCATGATGAATGCTTGTTGTGTGTAATGTATCGTAAAGAAATTACACGGATACTAAAAATGGGTAAGTTGAAAGTTGAATTATTGACACTTTGTTATGTGTCAAAACAGTACATTTATAAAAGTCAAGTTTATATCTAGCTGGACATTTCCATTTTGGACATTTTAATTGTTGGAAATCATGGCTCCATCAGTTCATGTTGTTAGCAGTAAGCTATCAAAATTAAGCATTTCTTGAGCTTAACGCAACAAAATGGTATTTAGTCATCTTACCAAATAATCAACTGTTTAAATAGTTTTCTTAGTTAGAAAAAATCCTAAATTGCGACCAGCAATATTGTATCCAGATTTTAGGTTCTCATTCTAAATGTATATGGAATGTTATAAATCAGATTGTTGACACAGCTCAGTAGCTGTATAATATCAAATAATGAAATATTATTTTAATTCAAAAGAGGCACATAATTTATGTTGATTTCGTTTTGGTAAAATTTTAAAAGAAAGTGTAAATGTGACAAGTTATGCAATAGTATATCTACAATTGTTCTTAATTAAAATCCAATTATGATTTTAAATACTTTGTTAAGGAATGTAGTCCATGGATTTTAAGGACTACTATTTTTGTATTGAGACCACGGCCCATAGTTTTTAGTAAATTAGCAATGCAGGGGTAATAAACTAACGGCCCATAGTTTTTAGTGAATCAGCAATGCAGGGGTAATAAACTAACGGCCCATAGTTTTTAGTGAATCAGCAATGCAGGGGTAATAAACTAACATTCTTCCTGATTTATGTACAACTTTTTCATCGTATATCTTGCAACCTAATTTTCATTAACTGTTAAATTACTATCAATGATCAATGTACAAATAAAGGGGAAAATATCCTTACCCTGTATAAACCCCTCTCCCAAAACGTCAAAAAGTTCTGCGAACACGTGATTATAATGAAGTTTATTATAATTTGATTTATTAAACTTAAGATAATATATTCATGATTGAAATATGTAACCAGAATTGTATTAAAACAATATCGTTTTAAGCAGAGTTAGTTGAAGTTGTGCAGTGTTTTTTTACCATAATTTTACAACAGCCTCTTCCTTTATGAATTGGGAAAATATAGCAAAAAAAATATAATTTTCATGGAAATTGGGAATATATTCCTCATTTTTGGGTTATTTTGGGAAAATAAGGCGCTTTTTAGCTAAGGGAAACCTAGTATGTATTCGGCTGCAAAACTGAGCAAAAAATCACCAAGTTGTATATATCAATAGATGATTATTATAGGAAATAATATACTTCTTTCTTTATATTAATCGCAGAAAATTAATACAGTATATTTGTCATTCTAACCTGGCCAAGTATGAATTTGTTTTGTTTTAATAAACCTGTATTATCAGCTAGAGTTACTTCCCTTATCTTAAGGTTAGTTTAGTAGACTTTGTATCACAATTTCTATGGCTCACAAAAAATATCTTTCAATATCAATTGGAATGTATTATCTGAATTTGTATGAATCTTTTTTTTTAAACAAGAATTTGCAAATTTTTTGAAGGATTCTATCAATTTGACATGTAAATTCTTGTAATAATTAGTTAACCTGAAGATTATAAAATTGCAAATTTGACCGACAGACAAATGTCTGAATATATTTGGAATAACTTTCAGATAACACCGACCCATGTCAATGTGTAACACTACAATGCAATTGTTGCTTTATTAATTTATGAGCATGGAAGATAACTGGAGTTCGTCAGTAAGATGATTCATAAACCATGCTTAGATAATGGAGTAGTGTACTTCATATTAACAACAAATAACTTTGTATTATAGAATTGACCAAGCACTGGACTACATCCGTGTTTATACTTATTTTAGAATTTTTTATATTACTTACTCAGTATAATCTTTAAAACTTTAAAAAGAAGTATTTCAGCCATCATGGAGTTTGTTTTGTGTCATATGTTTTTATTGCCGAGGTATGCTTGGATGGCAAAAAAGACATACAATGAGTTTGAGATTTCAAATAATGATTTGAATAGCATCTTCCAAAAACTATGCAACCACTTCCTTGAGTTTGTAAGGGAGTGAACTGTATACTCTATATATAACATACAAATTATTTGTATCGAACATCATGCTGGCAATCATTTTCTGATCAGATTTTTCTATTTTGTTTTCATTAGAAAATTAATCGTAACACATTGGATATATTTGTCATTCAAGCAGCTTTATTTTTTTATTGTGATATATATGATTTGTTGATAAACTTCATGATAACCATATAATCATGTGTATAAGTATAATCTAATTAAAAAGTTTACCTGAAATAACAGTGCTGTTTAGTCGTTATTTTAACAAACATAAATCACTGTTTAAAAAACCCACAATACAATCTTCTGCTCAATATATAATCCAATGTTTAACTACTGTATATTGAAACAATCTAAGGACTCATGCTACCTGCCAGAGAAAAAGTGGAACCCCTCTCAGAAATAGGGGTGGAATATCTACCAGAGAAAGTAGTGGAACACCTCCCAGCGAAAGGGGTGGAATATCAATCAAAGAACAGAGTGCTAAAGCTGCCATAGCAAGTAGTGGAATACCTGCAAAACAAAATAGATGAACACCTCCCAGAGAAAGGGAAGCAACACCTCCCAGATAAAGGGATGGAACACTTAATTGGGGGGGAAAACAGGACCATTAGCCAAGGTAGGAATTGGAATACCGGCAAGGGTAGGAGTGAAACACCGACCAGAAAAAGGAAGGGAACCCCTGTCACAAAAAGGAGTGAAACACCAAAACAAGAGATGGAATGCCTGCAAGATACAGAGCTGGAACGAGATAAAAGAATAGAGCATCCGCCAGAAAAAAGAGAGGAACACCTACCAGAGAGGGGTAGAATGCCTGTAACAAGACCAAGAAAAAAATGAAAACCCTACAACGGAAGGGATTGAAACACATGCTACACAGTGAAGTGAAACATGTGCCAGGGAACAAGTGGAATAATTGCCAGAGACAGGAGTGAAATACCTGCCAGAGAAAGAAGTCGAACACCAGCCAGAAGGACAAAGGACGCCTGTCAGAGGAAGGGATGGAGATCCTTCTAGAGGAAGGAGAGTAACACCTGTCATACAAAGACGTGGAAAGCCTGACAGAAAAAGGAGAAGAACTCCTGCCAGAGAAAAGAGTGGAATACTTGTTAGAGAAAGGAGTGAAACATCTGCCATGGAAAGGAGCAAAATACAGAGAGAGGCTGACAGAGAAAGGAGTAAAATACAGAGAGAGGCTGTCAGAGAAAGGAGCAAAATACAGAGAGAGGCTGTCAGAGAAAGGAGCAAAATACATAGAGAGGCTAACAAAGAAAGGAGCAAAATACATAGCGAGGCTGTCAGAGAAAGGAGCAAAATACAGAGAGAGGCTGACAGGGAAAGGAGCAAAATACAGAGAGAGGCTGTAAGAGAAAGGAGCAAAATACAGAGAGAGGCTGTCACAGAAAGGAGCAAAATACAGACAGAGGCTGTCAGAGAAAGGAGCAAAATACATAGAGAGGCTAACAAAGAAAGGAGCAAAATAAATAGCGAGGCTGTCAGAGAAAGGAGCAAAATACAGGGAGAGGCTGACAGAGAAAGGAGCAAAATACATAGCGAGGCTGTCAGAGAAAGGAGCAAAATACACAGAGAGGCTGTCAGAGAAAGGAGCAAAATACAGGGAGAGGCTGACAGAGAAAGGAGCAAAATACAGAGAGATGCTGTCAGAGAAAGGAGCAAAATACATAGGGAGGCTGTCAGAGAAAGGAGCAAAATACATAGGGAGGCTGTCAGAGAAAGGAGCAAAATACACAGAGAGGCTGTCAGCGAAAGGAGCAAAATACAGAGAGAGGCTGACAGGGAAAGGAGCAAAATACAGAGAGAGGCCGACAGAGAAAGGAGTAAAATACAGAGAGAGGCTGGCAGAGAAAGGAGCAAAATACAGACAGAGGCTGTCAGAGAAAGGAGCAAAATACATAGAGAGGCTAACAAAGAAAGGAGCAAAATAAATAGCGAGGCTGTCAGAGAAAGGAGCAAAATACATAGGGAGGCTGTCAGAGAAAGGAGCAAAATACACAGAGAGGCTGTCAGCGAAAGGAGCAAAATACAGAGAGAGGCTGTAAGAGAAAGGAGCAAAATACAGAGAGAGGCTGTCAGAGAAAGGAGCAAAATACAGACAGAGGCTGTCACAGAAAGGAGCAAAATACAGACAGAGGCTGTCAGAGAAAGGAGCAAAAAACAGAGAGAGGCTGTCAAAGAAAGGAGCAAGTCGACGTATTCTTCAGTTAATGTCGACATATATTTTGTGATTTGGACATCTCATACTATGTCGACATCATTAAGTCACCATAGAGAGAGGAGTTAAATACTTGTCAAAGAAAGAATGGAGCACCTGCCAGACAGAAATAAAACCCCTTACATATTAAAGAGTTGAACACATGTCTGAAAAAACAAATGGAACACATGCCAGAGAAAGTAACAGCTCTTCTGCTAGTGAAAGTAATGATAGTGATAGTGTACCTGCCAGAGAAAGCAGCTGAGAGCACTTGAACATACTTTTTAAATGTGTAATTCACTTATATCAGAGCAATCACTGCAAGCTTATTGTATCCAACAAACATTTAAATCGACACAATAGACTTTTTTTCATTCAAAGAATGCCAATCCTCACAACAACATATTATAGAAAAAATGTAAAACAGATCTTAACAACATTTTCATTGTTTTACAGGACATTGTCACCCAGTGTAAATCTCTGAGAGGATGCGATATGTAATGTATATATGGGTAATAGCGTCCTTTACTGATTTACAGTATATGGGTGATAGTGACCTCACTGATTTACAGTTTATGGGTGATAGTGACCTCACTGATTTACAGTATATGGGTGATATTGACCTCACTGATTTACAGTATATGGGTGATAGTGTCCTTCAATGATTTACAGTATATGGGTGATAGTGTCCTTCAATGATTTACAGTATATGGGTGATAGTATCCTTCACTGATTTACAGTATATGAGTGATAGTATCCTTCAATGATTTACAGTATATGGGTGATAGTGTCCTTCAATAATTTACAGTATATGGATGATAGTGTCCTTCAATGATTTACAGTATATGGATGATAGTGTCCTTCACTGATTTACAGTATATGGGGGATAGTGTCCTTCAATGATTCACAGTATATGGGTGATAGTCTCCTTCAATAATTTACAGTATATGGGTGAAAGTGTCCTTCAATGATTTACAGAATATGGGTGATAGTGTCCTTCTATGATTTACAGTATATGGGGGATAGTGTCCTTCAATGATTTAAAGTATATGGGTGATAGTGTCATTCAATGATTTACAGTATACGGGTGATAGTGTCCTTCAATGGTTTACAGTATATGGGTGATAGGATCCTTCACTGATTTACAGTATATGGGTGAAAGTGTCCTTCAATGATTTAAAGTATATGGGTGATAGTGTCCTTCTATGATTTACAGTATATGGGGGATAGTATCCTTCACTGATTGACAGTATATGGGTGATAGTATTCTTCACTGATTTACAGTATATGGCTGATAGTGTCCTTCACTGATCTACAGTATATGGGTGATAGTGACCTTCACTGATTTACAGTATATGAGTGATAGTGTCATTCAATGATTTACATTATATTGGTGATAGTGTCCTTCAATAATTTACAGTATATGGATGATAGTTTCCTTCAATGATTTACAGTATATGCGTGATAGTGTCCTTCACTTATTTACAGTATATGAGTGATAGTGTCATTCAATGATTTCCAGTACATGGGTGATAGTGTCCTTCAATTATTTACAGTATATGGGGGTTAGTGTCCTTCACTGATTTTCAGTATATGGGTGATAGTGACCTTCACTGATTTACAGTATATGAGTGATAGTTTCCATCAATGATCTACAGTATATGGGTGATAGTATTCTTCACTGATTTACAGTATATGGGTGACAGTATCCTTCACTGATTTACATTATAGGGGTGATAGTGTCCTTCAATAATTTACAGGATATGGATGATAGTGTCCTTCAATGATTCACAGTATATGGGTGATAGTTTCCTTCACTGATTTATTGTATATGGGGGATAGTATCCTTCACTGATTGACAGTATATGGGTGATAGTGACCTTCACTGATTTACAGTAGATGGGTGATAGTATCCTTCACTTATTTACAGTATATGAGTGACAGGATCCTTCACTGATTTACAGGATATGAGTGATAGTATCCTTCACTGCTTTACAGTATATGGGTGATATTGACCTCACTGATTTACAGTATATGGGAGATAGTATCCTTCACTGATTTTCAGTATATGGGTGATAGTGACCTTCACTGATTTACAGTAGATGGGTGATAGTATCCTTCAATGATTTACAGGATATGGGTGATAGTGTCCTTTAATGATTTACAGTATATGGGGGATAGTATCCTTCACTGATTTTCAGTATATGGGTGATAGTGACCTTCACTGATTTACAGTATAAGGGTGATAGTATCCTTCACTTATTTACAGTATATGAGTGATAGTGTCATTCAATGATTTACATTATATTGGTGATAGTGTCCTTCAATGAGTTACAGTATATGGGTGATAGTGTCCTTCACTGATTTATTGTATATGGGTGATAGTATCCTTCACTGATTTACAGTATATGGGTGATAGTATCCTTTACTGATTTACAGTCATTCAGGGAAAAGGAGCAAACTCCAAAGCATTACAAGACGATTCAATAATGTTATAAGACATTTTAGCGACATGTTATGAATTTTGGTATTTTGAAAACAAATCAGCAAATAAGAATATAAAGATGAAATTGTGAGGAAATGTACCATATCACGGACATACAAAGACAAAATCAGACCTACAAGTTGTGACTGAGAGACAAAAACAGGAACGTGTGAGACACCAGCACAAGTGGAAACTCTCTGATTCCACAGATTAATCTTTCTTCTCAATGGTTTGATTATTCTTTCTTTTATACATGTAGCATCACTGTTTCACATCTAGAATGTAATAAAAGTTTTCTATAGAATGTGATGTTTTACGATGCTGTTTTGATAATTGAAAATATTTCAAACTTAAAAAAGTGATAATGTGCAGCTTACCTATTAGCGTGTAACCATATTTAAGTGGACCGATTGCTGATAAGCTCACAGATACAGATGATGTCCGTTTGGATGCCTTGTGAAGTGGTGGCCTGTCCAGGACGGAGAGCAAGGAAAACGATCATTGCGATGTTGAACAAAAGCATGCCAAAAGGTTAGGACATCATTACAAGAAGTGAAAGTTGATACAGGCATATAAATAAAATCAGTAGGGATGGTCTAAGTTAGAACTTTGGGACGGGACAAAATGACATGATAATAATGAATTTAAATGGCATCAGATCAGTGGGTACAAGCTCTGAATATGACATCAATGGAAGGGATCTTATAAACATCAGTGAAAGGGTTCTGAAGTCAGATCTGTGGGAGGAGTATAAATGAGATCTGTGGAAATGGTCTTGGAGATAGAGGGAGATCTTCTGATGTGTTCAGTGGGAGGGTATACATTACATACGAGGGACAGATCTAAATGCGAACCGTGGAGGGTCTAGTTTACATAGGTGTGAAGTGTCTTTATGTGATCTGTGGGATGTGTTGGAGCGATTTGATATCAGTGACTGCTGGGAAAAGCTGTATTACAATGTAGGACTTGAGGTGAAGGTCAAAGGTCAACTTGAGGTCACGTGACCTTATTTGATAATGGAACATCACCAGCTTCAAATGATGTACCTAGATACACAACATTTTATGCCAATTTATGAAACAGCAGCAGAGATATATTCTGGAAGCAATATTTTAGTAGTTGATGTCAAAGTCAAATTGAGGTCACAGTGACCTGCTTTCATTGTGTGTCACACCGCCTCCCATTATGTACCTAATCTTATGTACAAACTCTTATAGCAATTTGTGAAATAGTGGCTGAGATATGTTCCGGAAACGCATGCATGCACGGACAGACAAAGCAAATACTTGTGTCAGATTTTAATTGTACAATTTCCCATTAGCTCAGTGGTAGAGTGTCCGACAAGGAAGTCCAGGATCCTGGGTTTGATCCCCGTTGGAAGCACACTATTCTCTTGCATGTTACAAATGGTGTCCTTGGCCCTCCCTGTGGTGACAGTGAGTAAGAACATGGGTTGTGGTGTTCGAGGGCGAACACATTTTAAAGGGGGGGAGTAGTGTGGCAGATTTGAATTGAACATAGGATTAAGGTTGCCTTCTAGCTTCGCCCTAGAGGGAATTTCCCTTTAGCTCATTGGTAGTGTCGGACAGGCAGGTTTGATCCCTGATGGAAGCACACTGTTCTCTTTCCCATTACACTTTTTATCCCAGCTTTGTCAAAGTGGGGGGTTAATAAGAGAGTTCAGTAAAATAATATATCAACAAATACAACCCTACTCTGTCAAATGTATAATTAACGTTAAATGCCAAGAATCTTGGTAAAGTCTTGAAAATCAATTTTACCTAGAGCTATTTTAAAAGTTTTTCAGCAATGTTTTACATATAATCAATAGATTACGTACTTTTGAAAGGCAAATTTGGTTAGAGATAGCCAACAGACCTAGTTGCTAACTGAAGTAATGAGCCTACCTTAGGTTAGACACGAACTATTGCATTGTACTGCACTCAAGTTAGCGGGTAGGTTGTAGACTAGGTGGCCATCGACCAGACTTTTGCAGATTGACTTGACCTTGTCTGCTACTTCCGACTGATATCCTATGTGTGCCAAATCAGGGTAGACGAGTCGGTTTCACTGCCAGTGAGCCTTTAAATGGGTCTCCAAACTTTTGATTTTTTGAATTAGCCGGATAACAGAACTTATCCATTTTGTGAAATTGACGTTGTTGAATGCACGCTTGAACGTTGCTTTGCACTTGTATCTACTATAAGAGCTTTTAAGAACTAAAAACTAAAACGGGTTTTTCCGTATTTTTGCACTAGGGCCTATTTTTTTCGTATATAAATCCTAGCGGATCTGCAATTGTTTTATGCAGGTTTTGCAAGTCTTTGTCAAGTCTCACCGGAAAGCAGCATCAAATCACAACGTAACTCTGCCGGGTCCAACTGATCCAACCGTAATTTTTTTTTTCAAGAAATGAACAAATTCTTCAATTTTTCATTATTTTTTATTCACACTAACTAAAAACACACTCGTTACAAAATTACGAGAAGGCACGTACCTAACAGTTAATGAACTTGAGCAGCTTAATTTAACGGTGCAGTCTTTTGACAGATCGTAATAAAGAATGCCAATCTAATTAAAATCAAATCCGAATTCCCGTTCCTCTACGATACTCTTACATTAGGAAGAGCATCGTAGAGGAACGGGAATTCGGATCTGATTTTAATTATATTGAAAGAATGCGAGACTGACCATGCTGTATGAAATATGCCATAACAAATTAAAGTTGCTATCAATCCCACACAAATTGACAATCAATGCACTCTCATCAAAATTCTTTTAAACTGCTTCCTGTAGAACGTCCGTAAGGATCATTCTTCCCCCGGACAACAATCGGTTGGAAAAACTACGGCCCCTGAAAGTATATCTGCAGATACTCCTTCCGGCATCAAAACAGCAATTTCAACTTTCAAATTACAAATTTTGTTCCCTTTCATTTCAAACCGCAATATGACATAATTTCCAATCTGTTGAAGTTGGTTCTAAAATGGTAGTTTAAGCCCGTTAAAGTACATGGTAGAAGAAGTAGAAGCTACGATACTGACGAAGCGGCAGGGTAGTATATCTTTTTTACAACGTGCACCGTGTTGCACTCGAATTCAATGCTCTGTACTATATATAGATATAAAGAGAAGTTCATGACGTCGTCAACCTTGTCGACCTTGGTGTGGTTTTCCTCGAAGTTGGGGCATTTTTGTGATTTCCAAACGTATATGTAGATAACTACCAAGGTATTCATTGTTGGGCTTAATTTGTTGTTAAGTGGACTAAAAGTAAATATTTGAAAGATAAAACATTAACATAGAAAATATTGTAAAATGTATAAATATCCATTAGACACGCGGTGATAGTTTTACTGTGTCATGTTAGCTATGAAGCGGTTTGATTCGTGGTGCTATGTTGTTTGGTGGTAATGCTATGTTTTTCTGTATGGCAAGATTATATTTCAGATGATCATGACGGATCTAATGGGATATAAGGTGGTAAATTCCTGATAATTCCGTCAGACTGATGGTAGTTGGCAGATGATATTTTCTTTTGATTATCTCCCTTCTACCACCAACCTGAAGTGGGCGCTTCGCGCTTCTGTCATATTTACCTAGTAGCTTTCTGACGACGAGAGATTTTTTTTTTATATATAGGCCGGGGCAGAGGAGGCCGGGTATTAATATTAATATTAGTACTAATATTTACCGTGTATTTAGTCCAAAAAAAGTTTGGTTTGTGCCAGCATAAACTGTCAGCATCATCATTAAATTGCATGTAGAATCGTCCTTATTATGACGTTTACAATCAAAAAGTGATATTGTAACTTGCATGCGATACCATGGAATTAGAAATCCGTGCGAATTAGATGCCTTGGTAATATGCGTACGTATACCGACCCTTACAAATAAAAATGGACATGGGTAGAATTTGGACATCACGAGGCACAAATGGCTATTTTCCTATGGTATGTGCATATGACCTCAACGAGAGGCTAGTTAATAGAAGATTTGTGAGGATATATAACTAACCTGAACTTAAAGGGCCAAATATTAAATGAATCTTGTCTGACACAACGGAATTAGATTATCTAAGTCCGTCCTGACACATAGTTATCTGAAATATAAATGAAAAAATAGCAATAAATCTTTAATTGATATTTCGAATTTCTACAATATTGTTCGCTTTCGCAGTTAAAAGCTCAATGATTGATCTATAGTAAAACCAGAGACATACACGTCTCTGAGTGAATCACCTCTCTTCAGTATTAAACCACAAATTCTTGATTTATAAACCCAGAGACATATAAAACCATAGTAGTATATACGTCTGACAACCCTCAGTACTGTTAGATTTATCTCACCATTCACAGGTATCTTCTACATATATAAACCTATCAATTGCCGATGTTGTTTATTTTACTGAATGTTTGTCATTCCTATTAGGAATAACACAACAAAAATATTTTATGTGTAATCATTTCTATTATATCATTAGTTTTTCCCGGAATGTCTGCTATATTGGGTTTCCATTCAGAACGCACTTAGATTTATCCATTTAACTATGAGTTCGTCATTCGGATTTGTTCTGTCAAGTTAAGGGTCGTGTGCAAAAGGTACAAAACAACTACACGAATTCCACCGGTAGGCCGACCTCACTTGAATATTTCGAGGAAAGTGCGAGGACGGCCTTGTGAAAGTGAACATCTACAGTAGCTGGGAGTTAGAGGACAAACCCAATCATGTCATTGCTTACCCTCGAGGCCAAGTTGGAGAGGGTGGACCCCTCCACACAATGGGGATTTCGTATGCAGGGAGGACAGGATTTTAGTGCACCTTTAGCGATACAGCGGGTGAGTGTGTGATGTTTTGGCGTTCTGACAGCTCGGGATGCTCGATGTCAAAGGACTTATGGGTTGTCTTATCATGTCAAAGTGTAACACTGATGATTTTAAGTATCACATACACTTCGCTAGGCAACTTTGATACTTTCGTAACTTTTTATTTGCCATGGAAAATGCACTAAGACGGTTCTGAACTTAGGAATGGTCCACTCTTCATAATCATATCAATCATCGATATTTACGGCATGTGTTTTCGTGTGGGGGAGAATGTTAATTATTTTGATAGAAGTCCGTCTGTATAATGTTGTTAGATATCTTTGTAACTTTCTGTTTCTGAACCATGATATGAGTAAACGGCCCGTACGAGAGTGTGTGTGTTGTGTACATCGAGGCTTTAGCACAGACCGTACCAGATTGTCTGTCATTACCATATTTGATGATTCACACACCGATGTGCTTTGTAAGACAATAGTCTGTCCTTTAGCTGCACATTCCTGTCATATATGACCGTATAGGGCTAGAAATAGGCAGGAATGCCTAAAGACCACACCAAGTATGTACTTACGTCAAAGTTTTAAAAGTCGGTATTGTGTGTGTCTGTACGGAAATAGATATGTGACCTGTGAGGGTCATACCACTAGAGCTGACAACACATGGTTGTGTATTACACTACATGTTATACAATGTAGCTATACCTTCTCCTTGTGTAAAATGAACACACTAATAAATATATACTGTCAATTAGGGGGTAAAACTTTGTTGTATTTTGTAGTATATTGTACTTTTTTTATCCAAAAGTTCTACTTACAAATTGCAACAATGTTATACTTAATAGTTGCAGGCGGCAGGTACATGTGTTTATAGCAATGTCAAATGATGTTCATTAATTGGAACTGTGTGTTGCATTTTCTTTAAATTTATGTGTTATAACTAATTAATAGGGGAAATATCATCTCCTTAGACACCCTAGTACTGCAACAGTCAATAAAAGCCACACAACATGTTATTGTATAGTACTAACATATATATATCCATGGATTGAAAAATATAAAATATAAAATGTAATGTAGTATAGGTTATAATAACACATACCTCCTTTCACTCACAGAACACACTCCAGGGAAGCTTAATATGTTCCTTGGTAAGAGGATGCATGAAACACCAATAAATAGGCATGTGCATATACATGTCTGGCACCCCCCTCCTGATGATGCTCTTCTTCCCTGGGGGATGGGGTTCTCCTTGGTAACCTGTATAGATCCAGGCTTTTCCAGTGAGTACCTATTGGGTAATAGACTTATCAGTAATATCTTAGTACCCATACTGCTGATAAACATCAACAAACAGCATCAGTACCAAATTGATGAAGAAATGTGCACATCTTAGAATGTTAGATCAGATGATAAAGAATATCAGCTTCCCTGATCACAGAGATACTGGACAGAAACAGTTGTTATTTTGACCACTATCATAGAAAATGAAGTGGTGGTCCAGTTTACCATCAATGCAATCAGACCAGTAGTCCATGGCCTGCAGTCTTGAGAAGAAACAGCATACAGGTAGGGGTGGGGGAAATGCTGACATCATTGTATGGGTGAGGAGTGGGGGTGGGGGTGG